ATTAGGAGGAAAGTGTAGTACACAACTAAAGCTTCATGCGAAATAGAGACGTGAACGGTACTACATAGCATTGATTTTCTATCTAAATAGTATTCGATCTACGTAAGCATATAAATTAGCTTACATTAATCTATTTACAGAAACTTGTTGCTAATGAAATTTTCCACAAGCATGATTTAATTCTAATGTTAAAAAGTTTTCTTCTTATATCGTACAATTTTATCGGATCCAAGTAACTTTCCAACGAACCTTAAAAAAAAAAAGTATCAATGATAAATATTAAAAGTTACAGTCAATGAGCTTTATAAGTACACATCTATAAGGTTACAATACAGCAAAAATTTTACAACTGAAACCTTTCAATTACAACGATATCCGAAAGATCCGTTCCGATACAGTTGTACATATGAAGTCATCAAGTACACTGAATTCATTCAAGTGGGATTGCTCGCGTCTGTGAAGTTCATGCATTCCACCGGTTACACAGATCATCGTTTACCTGCAGACCGGGTAGCACGTATACAGAAAGACGGTAAAGAGACGCGTGTTGCGACGGCGTCGTATGTCTGACAAGTCGCACGCATACACGCGACAACGACAACAGGGACAACGAGAAGGACAAGAACGACGAATAGGAGCACGACCGCGACCACGTCCACAAGAGTCGTGGTCGTGGTCGTCAGGAGTGTGGCTCGGACGAGAAGAGATATCCTCCGGTTCGTGAGGGACCTATATAACTGTACCGTGTGTCTGGGTCAGGGGGCGGGCCGCCACGTTTATAGTATACTCTCTATATCGGACAGGTGTACCCCATTCCGACTCCACGAGTTCTCGCGTGCACCATCGAGCCGTAGCCACGCACGCCGCAACACGTCTTTCTAGCTGCCGCGACAGATATCGTGGCGCATCGCGGTAAACACGAGGAGATCAGTCGCACGGGGAACCTCCGAGGACACTTAACGAGATCGTTTCGAAGAGCACGAACCGGCCGCGACTGGCTTTACCAAACGTCTCTCGGGTCCTACCTTTTCGCGCGTTCGTCGGTTTCGTCCTCGTTTTGCGCCACTCAAATCGGCCGAGATCAACTGACTGTGCTTTAGAGAGCCTCCGACCGCGCGGGTACGCGGAGATTTCTTGGCACATGGTGGTTCAATCAGTGCGGTGCGCCGTCGCTCGTATTTTCCATCTCTTTCTCGTTGCGAATCTTTCACACGGGATTTGAAAAATAAAAGAGAAGCGTCTCCAACTGCGTCCCAACTGCGTCTGCTTCCCGATTGCAAAAAAAACGTAAGATTTTTTTTTATGTTGTTCGTAATCTAGTTAATTATAACGTTTCGTCTATGAATAACCGCTTAGACATGGGGAGTTTTAATAACGATTAATCGAGAGCTGTCGATACATACATATAGAAGGTACTATTACTATAGAAGCGTTTCCATTCAAATTTCATGTTGCATTATGTCATCCTTCGTATCAGATAAACGCTTAAGCATGGGATCCTCCGGATGTATTTATCATATGACGTTTATGAATTATTGAGTAATTGTCGTGTGCTAAGGTGTAATCCAATTATCGTTGCACCATTGATTAAGCTATTATTTACAGCGGAAACATCGTCGCTTATGTTTCCCTAATGCGTTGATAATGACAGGAGCTGATGTCTCGTCCGCAGAAATTATACGATGCGCCGCGTTATAGTCAACCACGTGGTGACCGCGTTCATTCTATCAATGTGCACATGACCGCAACAGTTGGTGGCTGCTAGTCGGTCAGGATGAATCTCGCAGAGTCGGCACAGAAATCAACGACACACAACACATATATATACACACACACACTTTACGATGTGATTTGTCTTTCTTCTTTTCTTCATTAGACGTACATAATCTTTACCAAAAGTACTAACGCATTAGCAAATAATACGTATTCATACGAACGAAATTCACATGATTTAATCAATCATATTTTTGTCTAGCAATTCGAAATTAAAGTTGTCCTTCAATTATAACGATGATGAGATAATATGAACATGATCGTTATCTATATTCGTAATGTAGTCCTTGTACTCAAGCATATCTGTAACATTAAATCGGATGATTAATAACACTTAGCTATGCAATTTTCTACATGGTTGCTGAGATGAACGTAACTGAGAAAGATACAACAGAGTTATTCGTGTTGAGGTAACTAGATCGTGAATGACACAAGTCGTAAAATTGAATGTAGGTATAGTAAAGGAGAAGGTTAACTGATACTAACTGTTAGACGATATTCATTCATTGTGTACTATCGATTGCGGTATCTCGTACGATCGATCAGCAATACGACACCTTTACAACGAAAGTGCATCGAGTTGCCATCAAGTTGTCAGTTTGCTTCGTTACGCTCGATTACCATACGCTCGCTAGGTTACAGACGATAGAGTAATGTAGATCATGTATGTATGTATACATCATGTATATCATAGATATACTATCGGTCACAAATAACCATGACTGCGCCTTAAAAGAGAAATTTAACGTTTATTGCACACTGGATTTATCGAAGTGATTATAGGCAATGCTTATTGGTCGATAAATCTTACTATGTGTCAATTGTGATCGTCACTATATTTGAAGAAACATTGACGATGTTTTGTTTTATTTTGTAACTTAATGAAATTATTACATGAGTAAATGTGTTATGGAACGCCTATGTGATGAATTCGAAAATAATCTTTTTTATGATAATATGAAAAATTATAAAATTTTATGAAAAAATGATTAGGGTTAGAGTCTAATCTAGATATATTCATATTTTAGTTTATCTTTCTTAGTAATCTCAGAGCGATAAATAAATAATTAAATTCAGCTATTTAAAAACATTTAATATGAAAGAAAGAAGTAATTTAGTAATTTTTTAGTAACTTTTAGTTAGGTAATACATTCTGCATAAAAGAGTTAGCAATTACTAACGATGATAAATCAATAAATTCTTAACCAAGTATTCTTTATTTAAATTCCTTTTACTCGCTACATTTTCATATCTTAACGTTTATTTATAATACCAATAGCATTTCACAAATCAATATTATTAATTACCAGAAAAGGTGTATTTAATTGTCAAATCTTTATTACACTATATATTCAATGTCACAAACATTTTACGTGCGAAATTTAAAAGTTAGCCCTCGCCATTCTGGAAGTGTGACGATCAGAAAGAAAGGGGAACAAGAAGATATTTCGACTCCTTTCTATATGGGTCACTATTAGGTACGCACTCATTATGCGAATGCCTGACTTCGAAATTACCACACCGGTGGAACCGTTATATGTATTTGGCATCACGCCACATCTTCGGCGTGCCCGATTCATGGTTAACATGGAACAACGAACGTGTAAACAGCCGCCGGTGATTTTTATTCAAGCACAGCCCCGTGGCAAAAGAAAGAACAGGTGTCGCGATCTATCGTGGCACGAATTTCAAAAGCGGAATTATAATAACTAATGTATGCCAGCAATAAATAAACGTTTGTAATTTCACTGCGCTAACGGAATTCGGTATAGATCACTGGTGGGTCGTAATTACCTTCAGCTCGATACTCACGCAGTTTCTCAAGGGAACGTGTTAACCACAACGTCGTATATGAGCATTTAGACAGAGAGAAACGATACCTGTTTTATCGTGGTTACATTATTAGAGAGTGTTGTTGATATCGTAATTCAAAGAATTTTCCAAAAATTAAAACTGAAATGGCGTTGAATTACGATCGAATCGAAGTACGTAATTACGCAGAGATCAATGGAGGCTTGAAATAGTTTACACATAACCTTTCAGAAATTCCCAGCGCGCTGCCATCGAAGAGATACATAAACGGCTATTCAAATCCCAAATTGGTGATTTGTCGTACGTATCGTTTATGGTCCGACCTGGAATTGGACGACATCTATCGTCGAAGATCCGTACATTATTAACATTAGATCCGCGTAAGTGGATTCGCTACGTATGTCGAAGGTCGATAGGTGAAAACCTACTTGCCTACATTCATTTACTGTCATGCGCATCTTAAATTCATCGCACGATTTATCGTGGATTGAGTCATCTCGTTTTTTTCCATTCTCTTATGTTCAAAAAAATATACTCGTCGCTAAACGACTGATCAGGAAACGTTTATAGGTTACGAAAAAATATTTCGAAAATTCTCGAATCAGTGTAATGCATATGTATGTATCGTCGTTATTTAGGTATAGTTTGCATTCGTTCTTCGATACTTTCACATGGATGAAAAAGCACAGTTTCAGATACGATCATGATCGTTTCGATAGTGAAATCGCTTTTCGCTTCTTCCCTGTTATTTTCTAGTCACAGCAGAGCATCGACGATCAATGAACGATGCAACGTGTTGCAACGATCCGTGATTTTCCAAAACGCGACATGGGTTCGATTCGGTTCATACCTATAGTTGTCGATCGTGGCAGTCTGGTGTCATGAGTATAACGAGGTAACGGAGCGAAAACCCGGACATTCGGCAGGAATTTGGGACAGGTGGCCTAGTGGTCGCACGAGGCGAGCGTGTCTGATAATTGACGATTAAACACGAGCCAGGCGTCCAATGATGGACCGGTTCGTTCAGCATTTTCTACTAACAATTCTTTATGACGTTTCACTCGTACGCTCATCGGGAGTGTGATAAAAGAGGCACAACTAAGAATTCACGCTGCGTTGCTTAACGTTCCACTGTTTCTTCGCATTTCAATTACAGACTGCGATCAACTGGTCGTTAGTCTCATTGTTAGAGGGGGGTAGGGAATAATTTTATCGACACGCTTCTACCTCGATCGTAAAAATCAAATTGCACAAGCACGCATAATAATTATTTTAGGTACGTATACGCTTGTAAATCATTTTATTAATTGTAAATCTAGAAGCTATTCCAAATTATCAATATACACTTAACAGAGAAAAAAAAACGTTTTTTCAGCGGTACATTTACAACACTTCACCGTGGACGCCAACACGGTATGCGGTGGCGAATTTTCATATTAGCCTGTCTCCTACTAAAGGGGGTAAGTAAATATCGTATTTAATTTCCATTTTTGTCACTACATTATTGTAATCCATTGAACAAATGTTATTGTCTCTATTTACTTTCAAATATAACAACCTAACCTAACCTAACGTTCTCACAACTTTAAATCACTAAACAATCACCTTACTTAATTACACTATAAAAATTCGAACGTACAATACGATCTTTTATACTCCGGAAGATGGGTTACACGAAACGTGTAATTGAACGTTCGGTAAGCGGAAAGACCGAAAGAGTGGAAAAAGTGTGAAATATCAAGTTGACGATGAAAAACCGTCCGGAGGTAAGAAAAACACGGCGATGTTACAAAGAGGGTAGGTCGGTATGTCTGCGTAAGTAATTACTACATTATAACCCAGATATCGCTGTGGGTACATAGCCTGCAATGCCGTTACCCAGTGCTCTGACCCAGAGCTAAGGGCGACTCGAGGCCCGGTCGATGTCTTGAAATGGTGCGCAGCGTTCCGATCCGGCTCATCCACGTCTACTACGAAGTAACGTTTTACTGTCGGGGCCTTCACCACGAATCGGTCTTACAAGATTGCGCGCAAAAATCGCGCACGAAACGACCGGTTCCGTGATCTTACCTTCCCACCCTGTGCACATTCTTGGGGACCCCGACACGATTTCAATTCGTTCGTTACTTTTTTGCTTTTACGTTCGCTGCTCCGTTCATTCTACCGGACCGCGTACACATTTTAAATATTTTCGCGTCACCGATCTAAGAAATTAATGACCGGCGAAACGCGTTATTATCGTTGTCAAAAGTGTATAATGTACCCGAGGAGAATTTCACATTGAGCGGAAATTTCATTCTGCACGGTGATTTAACGTGTACACAAAACAAATTGAGATTCGAACGTTGTATATATATATATACATACATATATATATTCGTCTTAATACCGCAACGCATTATTTTTCTTACCAATTACCGGCCGCTTTTAATTTCCGTTTAATAAGTCATAAGGCACGCTGTGAATAAAATACCGTGCCAATTAGTCACGCTTACCGTCTGCAAGTAATGTTTTACCTTTAACTCCCTTCTCGAATCAAACTTACAAAGTAGCACGTAAAAATCTTTCAGACGTAATGAATGGCGCTTCGATCGTGTATATACGTATTGCAATTATTCGACGTACAACTTTCTGTTTTCTTACCAGAGACGTATAAACCTATAGCCGTATATACTAATTTTAATACAGACTTTCGTAGAAAGTTGTCCGTACTCGATGTTAAAACAAGAAGGAAACGATACACGTAATAGAAACACGTTTCTTTCCAATCGTAATCTGCATTCTTCGATAAAAATATTTTATAGCTACTCTAAGAGGATTACGTTAGACGACGGTGTATACTGGCTGGAGCGCGATGCTTCTTGTACGAGCTCAGCCAGGTGAATGAAGCGGAGTTAGACTGTGAATGAAATACCTCGCTAAGATGATAGAAGAAATTCACGGAGATCGGACGGATAATCGTTATCCTTTTAATCTGTCCACTATAATTTCCCATTTTTTTCTTCTCAAATAGTATAATCGTCCGGCGTAAAGAAAAATTAATTACCGTCGCGACAACACGTGGCAAATGTTACTCCATTATTACGTTGTCGTTAATGGAAACAGCTCGACGGACGATTTAACATCGAGAAGAGAGGTTTTGAATGGAAACGAGAACGACATGACATGCAAACCATCCAAAGTCGTTTCTCCTGAAGGACGGTCATCGTCTTTTCTGGTTGAGCGCGCACCGCCGTCATCGAAATCCATCATGGGTTCGTTCACAGATGACCCAGTAAGCTTTCGTCGAATTATGGGACGCGCAGACTGGAAAGCCACGGTGAGATAAGCAGATGTCGGAATCAGCGGAGGGCTGAGGCGGAAAACTGAACGTGTGTATACCAAGCGCTGTTGGTGCTGGCCGATTGACCTGCGGCTAAAGACACGGGTGGTCCGTTATGCCCCAGGGTCACGCGTGACGCAATCAGCCACTACACAGGCCCGATGCTCCTATTCCGTCGTTTGGTCGCCCCTCCTCGACCCTCCGAACCCGTCATTCGTCGAACAGTCAGAACGGGTTTGTTGATCGGATGCTGTTGTCTCCTGTATTGGCCATCAGGAATGCGCACGAGCAGAGATAGGCTCTTTGAGCGGATCTTCGGTTTGTGACAACAGGCCAACAGGCCAACAACGAGAAAATCCATCGTTATTCCCTTCCTTTTATTCTCTCTCTCTCTCTCTCTCTCTCCTAGGCTTCATTTCGTCGTCACGCTGTTCACGCGTACAGGTAATTTCTATCGTTTGGAAAATTCAAAGGAGCGTGTAACGAATAACGCGGATTTACCGACACATCTTTCGTCGTGTTAATTCCTTCGCCAGAGATCGTGCAGAGGTAAATTCATGCATCGTTACACGATAATTTAGGTGAACGTGTGTACGCACGTACGGATACATTCGCTGATTGCACCGGCGGGCACCGAGTATATAAAGGCGGCCGGCCCGTTCTTTAAAGGAAACGTTGCACGTCTGCAAATTATGTAGCCCGACAACGTCAATCTACTTTCACGCTTTCTCATCGTTTATCCCTTTCCTCCCCGCGGCGGATGTTCTACAAAATATATTTCACTTTGCACGGGGACACGTTTTCATCGAGTGCCGTATGAATTTTTCTGTCCGCAGCTGGCTCGAACGGAGGATGTCGAGGTTGTAGAGGCGATTCCAGGTGAGGACAACCGGAACGATAATTCAGCGTTGAATCGACAGGACAACGACATAAACAGCTCGGATCAATTGGCGTTAGAATCGTTAGGGGAGAAGGATGCTGGCGGTAACCATTATAAGCCGGGTGGTCTCAGGGGCCATCCCCTTCCACTTCCACCGAGTCGCGGTGGCCTGGGATTACCGCATCCGAGACCACATCATAACGTCGCTTATCACGGTCCGCCGCCACCTTTGCCACCTTCCAAGACACCGTCCGAGGCGATCGACAAGATCTACACAACGGGCGGCGGTATTAACACAGCGGTAGGCGCGGAACCGTGGCCGGCACCCACGCCCGACATGCCGAAGATCATTTCATTGGACGTGAAGTGCGAGAAAAATCTGATGAAAGTTTACCTAGGCTTCGACAAACCGTTCTACGGTATAGTCTTCAGCAAAGGCCATTACAGCAATGTTAATTGTGTGCACTTGCCGGCAGGTTTAGGTCGTACCTCGGTTAACTTCGAGATTAGTATTCACGCGTGTGGCACAGCTGGAAATACGGAGAATGGTTTATACGGTTACGGCGCCGAATCCGGGTCGGGGACGTACTTCGAAAATATAATCGTGGTGCAATACGATCCGCAAGTTCAGGAAGTTTGGGACCAGGCGCGCAAGCTACGTTGCACGTGGCACGACTTGTACGAGAAGTCTGTTACGTTCCGTCCGTTCCCGGTCGACATGCTGGACGTGGTTAGAGCTGACTTTGCCGGCGACAACGTCGGTTGTTGGATGCAAATACAGGTCGGCAAAGGTCCATGGGCTTCGGAGGTCTCCGGTCTTGTTAAGATCGGTCAAACGATGACGATGGTACTCGCGATAAAGGACGACGACTCTAAGTTCGATATGCTCGTGAGAAACTGTATGGCTCACGACGGCAAACGAGCCCCTATACAATTGGTAGACCAGAGAGGTTGTATCACCAGGCCCAAGCTTATGTCCCGGTTCACGAAGATTAAAAACTTCGGCGCTTCAGCGTCCGTCCTCTCCTATGCACATTTCCAGGCGTTCAAATTCCCGGACTCGATGGAGGTACACTTTCAATGCACCATACAGATCTGTCGATATCAATGTCCGGAGCAATGCTCCGAGTCCCCTTTGCTACTGGAATCTCAAGGTCTTTTGGAGAATCATCATCATCCTCCTTCTAGTGGCCATCCTGATTCCAGTTACGGCCTACCACCTCCTATTCCGCTTCCTTTGGAGGCTTATTTACAGGCGGCCGCCGGACGTCCACGGGACGAGAGGCGAAGGAAATCTCGAGAAATAGTGCCGACACCGCAGAAAGCGGTCGGTGTTAATCGGATAATACGCGTGGTCTCTACAGGTGACCTGACGTTCTCCATCGACGAGTCCAACAATGGTGAAACAAACGGTCCGACAATGGTGTTTCCCGTACGGAACGAGAATACCGCGAACGCGGCTATGATTTGCATGACTACACCAGGTTTTGTCGTCACTCTAATAGTACTTCTTGCCGTGTTACTGTCCTCCTGTATACTTTCCACCTACCTCTGTCTACGCCTAAGACCGTTCTCAGGAAAAGTTAGGAAGACCGCGACGTATTATAACGGGGAGCAAAACATGCCTAAAAAGTCGACGAGGACGTGTTTCTACTCGTAGGTTACGAACGATCGTAGTATAACATTAAAGACGATATGCCGTTTGATCGAGTCTACCTTTTCCACGGTGAATCTCCGCCGGGTATCGAGATTCCCTCCTTCCATCGAGATAAACGGGTTCGAATTATTTATCGATCGGGTAATGCTGTTTACGCGAACGACGAATATATTGTGAGCGTAGGATGTTCCAACGAACGTTAAATAACACTTCGATAGAACGGAGTAGCTCAACAAACCAGCCTGCCAGAATTTCTTTTATACCACGGATTCTGGCGACTTAGCTCTTACCACGTATTTATTTTTCGGGCCAGACGAAGACCGTTCGCGTGAAATTTTTAAGTTTAATCAATCGGATGCCAGGGAAACCGGTCCTCTTGGTCGCGCCATTTCAGGTATCGTAGAGGCTACAGAATGTCGCAAGCACGATTCTGTGTATCACCGCGTATCAGACAGAGTATTGTTGGTAATGAAAAGAACAAAAGAAATGGTCAAATATAAGCATACTCTCTGTTTGAACAATCGAGTTAATACGGATTTGTGCTTCGTCATAATGAAACTTACGCTCAAGCCTATTTGCAGGCGATTGTGTATAGAAGACACTTGAAAATTTAGTCAAAGATAATCAAACACTTTGCGCTCGCGACTTCCTTGTTACAATTTATCTCGGGACCATGGTATTTGGGTATTTAGTCGTTAATTCTTTTTATCGTTACCCGTTGCGTATTTTCTAATATGTAACTGAAGGTACGTCGAAGGCTGAAATCATTGCGAGTGAATTAGTTTATACAGTTGAAAGAAACTCGTTGATTCTTTTTTCTTTTTTCTTTAAATATTGTTGACAATATTATCGTTTTAATGTTATTTATTTAACTACGTAAGTAATGTCCGGAATTTTTCTGCGGCTTTATCTTTGTGCACTTGTAACCACGTAAGAGCCAGTCACTGTCGTGCAACTATTAAAATGAAAATTTATCCTCGGTTTTGATAATTTTAACGTTTAAGATAATTAATTAGATAGAAAACCCGAAGGTTCTCCCTTCAGTGAAGTGGACACTTTTCAACGTTAGTTTGTAAACACGCTGCCATGTTACGGAAGTTTTCTTCTTTATAACTCGAACACAGAGTAACTTAACTCTTTATCTCTTCTTAATATTATATTCGTTAATTGATAAGGAAGTTGAAGCATGTGAAACTGCAGACAATAAACAACGAATCACCTGTTTTTTTACGACAAGTTTCGACCTTTCACGATGAGAAATGAAAAGAAAAGAAGAAAATGTGAGAAAATGATTTCACTAAACGTTAATCGGACAAGTGGATAGAAAGAAAAAAAGAAAAAAATAGAAACGCAAGGTATCATGATCGAAATGTATAAATGAATAGTCAGTAGCTTGTAATAGCGTAAAAAAGGATAATAATATAATATTTAATGCTAACGTAAGCACGTAGAATATAAAGATGTTCATAAATTATTTTTCATCGACGAGATAATGTATTTTTTACAAGAATACTAGTATTTAAACTTTTGTATATGAATAAATAATATAATTATATTTACTAGACGTTTTTCACTCGAAGCTCGAAATCGGCGATTCTTAAGAAGGAACGTTTCCAAGTGATAATCACCGATATTGATGAAACTCTTTGATGAAAAATATTTGACGCGTATTTTTCCTTTATCTGCAATAGTTCACACTGAAATGGTAAAAATGGCCCTCAAAAATGGAAGTAACAAACATATTTGGTTCGATATTTTCGAAAGTTATTAGAGATAGAGAAATTAGCGTTAATCGACGAATTTCGTATTTCTCAACAACAAATTTGAAAAGTAAAAAATAATAAATAATTTTGACCAAATTTTCACCCCTTCAACGAGGACGATTTCTGATAAAAGAAAAAAATACGTGTCAGATATTTCTTCGAGTACTCTCATCTACCAAAGTTTGATCAATATCAGAGATTATCACTTCAGAATCTTCCCTGATTAGAATGCTCACGTTCCTTCATTTCGGAAAATAAGAAACACGGGAAGAGATAATAATCGTTGGTTCTGTGGAAATAGGTCAAGGTCCTGTAAATACATTTATTGGCATTACCATTGATTTATGTTAAATAAAAAAAAAAAAAAACACAACCTTTCAATTAACAATCTCGATCTCTTTGTTTCTTCTCGCTCGAACTGTAATGTATTATTACCGTATCGTTTCGCTTGTATATAATAATTGGTGATCGCTGTATACTCGATTTAATAATTCTCTCTCTCTCTCTCTCTCTCTCTCTCTTTCTCCAAGCGTACAAGAATAATTCCATCGTATTTTTCTTTACACGTGTATACATAATATTTATAAACCTATATGATAATCCTAACGCGTTACAATTCTTCTGGCGCTTTGTAAAAAACGTTTGGATAAGTAAGTAAAAAATAAAGTGTATCTATCCAAACACCGCATCGTTGATTAATCTGTTCTTGGTTTGAAGAGGAGAGAGAGGAGAGGCAAAACCTTTCTCTCTCTCTCTCTCTCTCTTTCTCTCTGTTCGTTTTATTACAAAGGCGGAAACGAAAGAGAGACGCAACACGTAATACGAAGATGAAGGGATTACGAGGGTGAGAAGCCTCACTTTCCTGTACAAAGAACTGTCGCTTTCTCTGTCTTTTTTTTTTCTGTTTTTTCGTTTTTGCACGAGTTCGTTAAAGCGAGAAGCTCCTTTTCCTCCAAATATACGCTTCTTACTTATATGTATAATTACGTATATGTGGTATTTCAGGATCGGCGATCCCATTCACGATTCACCAAACGTCTTCCTGGACGTTTCGGAAGTTCGTGCTGCGCTTCGAGAATTCTTAAATAATCTCGCCTATTACCTAGTCGCCTAACTCAAAGAGCCCCCGAGGGGCAGTTCGATGTTCGTTTAACCTTCGGTTAACACCGATCGGAGAGAAATTTGAAAAAACCATCGAAAAATATCAGCGTTGTGATGGCTTCTTTTTTGCATGGAAACTTTTGGACGGTGAAGTGTGTCAACGGAAGGTTAAATTGGATGGATATATTCGATAGAGTGTATCGAATTCTTTTTTTTTTTTTTTTTTGTTATTACACTAACATAACGATATACGTATTTGGAAACAGAGAAAAATTTCAGTTTGATAAGAAGCATCGTTGAATTTTTCCGAAAATATTTACGATATACAGTAGTGCACACATAAGCGTCCGCAGTCGGGAGGTGTCTTCTGCGAATTTAACTAAAGCAAAGAGAGGAGACGCGTCTGGGTGGGATACCGATAAATCAAGTGTCAGTTGTTCAGATTCAGGAATCGATATCGAATACTTTGTTTCCACTCCGAAGTCCCATTTCCAAGAATTGGTGGGGATAGCGACGGACGCTTATGTGTGCACTACTGTATATCGTTCCCATTTTCAGTTAGCCGTCATTTTCAGCCTCTTTAGGGCTAACTCTAGAGGTGCTGTTATTTCCAAGTTTCTTCCCTAATTACTAGCGATTAGCGTAACTGTCGGTAACGAGCTATTCGATATTCGCATGATTTAGACGCGCTGTCGCGTCCTCCGTGAGCTATGTAACCGGTTTCTCGATAAAGTGAGTGATCGTTGTACTTTGAAATTTTAGAAAACAAAGTTTTTCCATTTATTTATCATTTATGATCTCAATTTTCGTTGAATTAGCGTTGATCCAAAACTTTTACGTACGGTATCGACGATAAGCGAAGATTTATGTGTAAAAAGTAGCAATAAAAGGTAAGAAAGTGTACGTATACCTTGCAATATGGGTAAAATTATTAGCGTCTATGGATTTTTCGTTCGTCAATCAAGGATAGGATGTTCAATCGTACATTCTATAGAAACGATGTTTAAAAACGAGAGTAAAAAAATTTTTTTTTTTTTTGAAAATGTAACTATATATTTCGATAAAATAATCAAACGTTTTAACATTGTTATTAATTGAAACATACGGAGATATGTGGTAATGATTCAATGCTAGTGATTAACGTTAAATCTTTGCAATTGACAGAGGACACTTTTTCGCTTTACGTGAAAGCAACATTTTATTATTATCGATCAATGATAAAGTATCGAAGTGTCAATTTCCTAGAAGAAACATTTCAGATAATAATTTAAGGAGTACATACAGGCTACAAAATTTTCTATGTTAATCGGTAAATTCCTATATCGTATTAAGTTTCATTTATAACGGTACCTTTTCAATGGAATCGTTCAACTATATTCGTTAGCAGCACCTCTAGTAAACTCATCATTAAATAGATAACAGTCGCGCAATACTATAAGACGCATTTACGACTAACGGTATAGAACAAAAAAAAAAAAAAATCTTATAAATCGCGTTAAATCGTATACTACAGACTCATGGGAGATATTTAATGCGCACCTCTTCGTTCATGAATTATCTAAGAAGAACAAAAAGAAGAAGAATATTGCCTTTGTGACTGGATCGATGAAATAGAAGAAAAAAAGAAGAAAAATAAACTTTCTAACAATATCATTCGCAATGTCAAGTGTGAAAAGCTATTCTTTCTTTTTTACAATACTCACAGCTAGAGCTGCCACATTGTTCCTTTCGACATATCATCCTCTCTTTGCGAATTTTCATTAATTCATCCTATAGTGAATATTACTGTGCGTGATTATGCTCCTTACTTACCCAATACCAATAATTGCCTCTCGAGAATAATCGTTTAATAATGCTTTCTCGTTCGCGA